CTTTTTTGAAAAATAGTCGCTGGAGGGGTCTGAAAAGTCGCTAAATATAGCGACAAAGTCGCTGAGTTGGCAACACTGAACCCTGTGTTAATCGCAGTGACGTCCAAATAGACCAAAATGATAACATGCTGGAAATGTAGAATTTTATGACTCTGTGAAGATCTTTCTTCACTTGTTTATCAGCGGAACCAAGCTTTTTAGATCAGGAAACGCACCCTGGGTGACGCTGTGTGACAATGACAACCTGCTTCAGTGTAGATGCTCCTACTCAGGGTAGAAGTTAGCTCAACTCCAGATGTAGGCTGCAGAGGGACAGAGATGCTGGAGTGTCTAAAAGTGAGCTGCATTAAAATCAGGCTGTGAGACGGTGAGAGAGAGCAGGACGCTGAACAGCATCCTTAAAAACAGCCAAACCAAGTTTTAAATGATCTGGTTCCCACAATAAGAGCAGAGAAATCCTTCAAAGGCTGTTTCATTATTGTTCTTAAAGAGGAAGCAGAAACCACCCACAAAACTTCTGTTATCCCACATCTTCCTCATTAGAGGGTGAAATACTTTAGGATTTCTTCAACCTGAAGGGATAATGATATTTAGTGATGATCAGAGCCAACTGGGAATAGAAAAAGGTCAGATTAAACCTGACGTCTGTTCTACCACTGAAGAAAAGTCTGTTCCTCATTTCCTGTGATGTTAATCTGTTCCCAGCATGTGTGGCGTAATCCTGACTCCTCACCTGTGTGAAAAACGGTTTGTAAATTTCCACCCCTGAATCGGAGCCTTCAGCGATCACCTCCCGGTCTCTGGTCCAGGTGTAGACCACCGGGGGGTTGGAGCTGGCTACACAACGAAGGAAGACTGTCCGCTCGAAGTAGAACTGCTCCTTTGGTTCGTCGTCGCTCTGATGCACCGTTATCACAGGTTTGTCCAAGTCTGTTGGAGAAAGAGGGAATCATTCTGGAAGGTTGCAGTGATTCAGTTCAGTTTATTATGGACCACATCAACACAGCATCTCAAACAGGAAAGATAATCCTGAACATTTCCACTGGACCCAGCAGACCATCAGAACGGGTCTGAGTTTAAGTTTCCTGAGCAGACAGACTCAAGAACTGTAAATCTGGCCTGCCATGAAACATGGGCCAGTAGAGAGGCGCTTAGCTTACAGTAGACGTCCACCCGAATGGAGCGAATGGCGGGGAACCCCAGCCCGTTCTCAGCCTTGCAGTAATAGCGCCCCCCTTGGTGGCGTCTGATGTTGTCGATTCTCAGAGTGCCGCTGTCCAGCGTGGAACTTCCTGGACGGTCGGAGGCTCCGCCTGCTGTCTTGGTCCAACGGATCTACCAAACAGAGCAGAGAGGGATCACAACCTTTACACAGCAGCAAAACAGAGAGGAACCTTGTCACAGAGCAGCCAATCAGGGAGGCGGAGCCAAGGAGCCCCATGGTGACTATGGAGGAGAGAGCCGCTGCTTAGGTGGAACAATATAAGTATCCTAACTTCTGTCATGGCTGAAGTCCTTCGTCATCACCTAGAAATAGAAGACGTATGGAGAAAGGTCAAAGGTCAGCCTTTGATATGACCGTATTGAACACAAGGCAGCATCAATCTGCCAGCAGCAGAACCAACCAGAACATCCAGCAGCACGGCTTAGAATGGCCTAGTCAAAGTACAGTACTAAATCCACCCGAGACATGAACCTCCACCCAGCTCCTCCATCCATTCAGTGTAACTGAAGCTGGTAGATTAGCTGGATTCGTCTGGTTCTCTGCAGCTTTTGGGTTCAAACAAGTTTGTCTGCTGATTCAGTGAAGCTAAAGGAGCAAGAAACTTAAGTCCAGTGAGATGCTTAACAACATTACACAAGTCGAAATATAAACTATAGAGCTTCCTCTAAGGTAGAAGTATTGATGTTCA